CCGCGCCCCCGGCGCCCCCGGCCGCGAGCCCGCCGCCGCCGCCGCGCTTTTTGTCCTCCTCCTTTTTCCACTTCATGCGGCGATTCTGGAACCAGATCTTGATGTGCCTCTCGGTCAAGTTCAGCATCACGGCCAGCTCCACGCGGCGCGGCCGCGAGATGTACTTGTTGAACAGGAACTCCTTCTCCAGCTCCAGCAGCTGCGCGCGCGTGTAGGCGGTCCGCGTGCGCTTGTTCTCCTCGGGCTCGGCCGCGTAGGCGCTGCCTGGGGGCGACACAGCGGGTGAGTGCGGCCGGGGGGCGCACCCCGACCCCTCAAGCCCTGCCGAGGGGCTCCGGGGCTCCCACCCTGCCCAGCAGCTGCAGCCGGGCCGCCAAAGCGCAGCCACTCGCTGTTCTCGGACGCCCAAACGGCGCGGGATCTCTCGGGCCAGCCAGCTCTGGGCTCTGTCCACGGTTCTTGTTTTGTTTTTATTTTTCTTGTTTGAGACAGGGCCTCGCTCTGTAGCCTAGCAGGGCCTCGAATTCACCACCTTCCAGCTCCAGCCCTGTAAGTGCTGGGATTGCAGGCGCGCGCCACTAAGCCCAGCTAAGCAGAAGCTGGTTCCTGGATGCGTTTGTTTAACTGGTTTTGGGTTGATGCCCATTAAATCCATATGATAATCCCAGCATTCTGGGAGGCTGAGGCAGGAGGATAGCAAGTTCTTAGCAAGACCCCAACTCAAAACTAAAACAAGATAAGGTAACGGCCCTGGGTTCAATGCCCCGTACCGGAGAAGAGGAAATGTGTATGATAGATGTCTACACTGACTCCCTTCTATGAAGGCTTTAACAGAGGATTTTAAACAACCTTTCCCATCTTGCGTTGTAGCAAGAAATATCTTTCAGAACACTATCCTGTCCATACAGGAATACACAGCTGACAGACATTTCGAGGCGTAAAACCATTTTTTCCATGTATTACGCTATTTTCCCTATTTCATTAAAAACGACACTGATCTCAGCCCAGTAAACGATTTCACAGCACACTAATGGTGCCACCGGTGCCGGTGCAGCTTATGACACATTTTGTTATACACGGCCATATGTTGTTTTCTGCTCCTGTTGCAATCAGCCCCGACCTGAGATGTTGATAGTACGTTCGCTATTGTTGTCGTTTTAATGGCAGTTTGCTGCCTGCCTGCGCCGAAAAGGAAACCAGGGCAGGACACTGCTAACCCCACATTCTGTGGTGTCCTGTGCCCCAAACCCTGACAGAGGCAGAAAGGGAGGGAGGGCCAGGGGGCCCGGGGCCCAGCTGCGGACTGAGACCTGGGGAGGAGAGGGCGGTGGGATACAAATGAGCCTCCTAGGTTCGCGGCTCCCAGCTCCAAGCCAGCGCAGCCTGGCAGCAACAGGGAGGCCGGGCAGGCAGGGAAAAGAGCAGGAGCAAGCTGGGCATTTGCTGTGGCAACAGGTCTCGGTCTTTCCCAAGTACTGACTGCACCCCTGTTGTGCACTGCGGCAGGGCGTGCTCCACCAAGGCTTAAAGGAGGAGGCTTAAAGTGGTTTGTCTTTAGCGCAGAGGTAGGAAATGTTTCTCCTCCGACTGGTGGCAAAGCCTTTAAAGAGCCCAAAGGAGACTCTGTGTGATGAGGTGGGGATTAATATTGCTCTGGCACCTGAGTGGGTTTCCCCCCAGGCCAAGAGGAGGCCCAAACCCTAGTCAGTAAGAGCAGCCCTGCTGGGGACAGGGGTGGTCCCAGGCCAGGAGAGAGGCTGAAGTGGTCTTTAGGTAACACTTCAAAAGGCTGCCTACAGTTAAATCCATCCCACAGGGTTTCCAGCCTCCTGCCGTTGGCTGCCTATGGCTGAGCGTGGAGGCTGTTGGTGGGGGGAAGTCAAAGGCCCTGGTTCTGGGCCCTTCTCTAAGGCATGGGGCAGAGCGGTTTAGGCGCGTGAGGCTGCCAGTGTGGCTGCAGCCATACTTGGAGGAAGAGGTTTTTGGAAGCCTGTGTGCTCCTTAGTCTTTAGTATCACGCTGTTCCTACATGTGACAGCCTCGGAGTCATTTCAAATGTCCTCTGGAGTGAAACCCCACTGCGTGCTGGCAGATGTGTTTCCCATCCCAGAAGTTTGGCTGGTTGGAAAGTTTCCTGGCAGCACCTCGGGCTCAGGGCTCTGCAGCACCCCGCAGGTGGCTCCCAGGAGGAGAGAGAAGAGATGGGACCTTTCCTAGCAGGCAAGTGCGGTGGGTGAGGAGGGCCAGCAAAGGCCTCCAGCCCCATGGACTTCTCAGAGGGAGGGGTAGCCCTCTCAGGGTGTCCCTCACCCCCAGGTAAGGCTGTGGTTTTCCTCTCAGGAGTTAAAACGTTATCTCCTGTCTTTTTGGATTCTCCTGAGCCCACCCTTGGAGGGAGGAGATGAAATTACCCCACCTTAGAAAGCCTCTCTTAAGGCATTCCTGTCTTTTTTTCTGAGGAAGACCCAGTTCAAGGGAGCAGGGCCTGGGGATGCCAGAAACTCGCTGCTGGGGGAAGGCAGTCCAGAGGGAAGGCATCCCGGGCCAGACGCAGTCAGCTGAGAGCCCCTGGGCTGAGAGATCTTCTTCCTGCCTCTCAAGAATCCTGCATTTCTGGAAACAGGAGGCTCTGAGGCCTCAGGCCTGGGTTTGGGGGCTGGATAAGAATGCAAAGGCGCTTCTGCAGGCTCTGGGGTCCCCCCATCACCCTGGTTTTGTGGTTTTGCGGGTGTGTGTGGAGGACCAGGTGACTGCAGAAGCCTGGTCTAGGCCCTGTCCTACCACAGGATTTTCATCCAGTGAGAAAGGGAATGAGGAGACAAGGCCTCCTTCCCTGTCCTCTCGGAGCCTCCTGGGTTAGTATCAGGCATGGCTGTCTGCGCAGACCCTGAGACAGGGTGCCTGGAATGCAAGAATTCTTGGGGCATGCCAGCTGGAGCTTCTTTCCCGTTTCTGTCAGTTAAAGGCACAGAAAAGGCAACTATTTGCAGTGCAGGTGTGACCAGAAGTGGCTGCGAGCGCGGAAGCGATAACATTGTATAGCGGCGGGGCACAGGCCGCGCCGGAACTTGGAACTCACTGCCAGTTCGGGCAGGGAAGGGACCCCAGGGCCGCTCGGCATCTCTCTACCTCCTGCTCTGGGAAAGACGCTACCTCTGCGACTAGAGTCCAGAGATCCCGGACTCTCGCTTCCCTGAGCTGGCTGTGCAGGTAGGACATGTCTCCTTCTGAAAACTTACTTCCGGGGACAAGTGAAGAGACCCCTTTAAACAGATGGTCGAAAATGAGTTAGCGCCTCCCCCAGCTGCCTGGCTCCGAGGGTGAGCTGCCCGTTAGACTTGCTGTGAGCCGGTGAGGCCTTTGTGCCCCAGCCGCTCCCCGCTCACGTCCACCCCCTAGCAGGGCCACAGGACCCTTATAGGTTTCTCGGATGGATGCAGTTTCCCTTTCTTTTCTTGCCGTTTTGCATCCACCCCCTATACACATGCCCGAGCAGGCCTGTGCTTCACTAGCGAAGCAAGGAAAGGAGGGTCCTGGAGCCCGGAAGGCACTCCTAGGCCTGGATCCTGGGCCCTGCTAGCTTACTTGATGGCCATTACCCAGTCCTGGGCTGCCAGATCCCCTGCTGGAGAAAGCTCCAGAAGGTCCAAAGCCCTAAGTGGGTTCCAGGGGCTAAGACGAGCTGAGTGTGCAAGGGAAGGAAGGCTTTAGGCTCCCAGGAGGGGTGCTGGGTGGGAGAGATGCTCCCAAACGGAGCCAGAAACACGCCTTGGCCTTGGGAGCAGGGTGGTCTTGTTGGCCCTGTGGTATGCTTTAGTCCGACCTGGTGTCGTCCATGGGGGATGGGGACTCCGACAGGGAGAGAGCCCGGCGGGGTGCCTAGAGTTAGGGGCCGATGAGCCTAGAGCGGGAGACGGGTCGGAAAAGGAGGGTTACCTGCCCACTGGCCTTTCCACGCGTGAGCTTTGGTGGACTTCATCCACGGGAATGGAAGTTGAACGCGGCTGGGCTCTTCCAGGGCCCCTGGCTCCGTTCCATCCGTGAAGGGCCCGGGTCCGGCAGGCGGGTGGGAGAGCGCGAGCTGAGCAGGGAGGTGGTGGTGTAGGTTCGCCACGGCCACCGCGGGGTCGTCGGGGAGGGCGGGCACCTCGTATGGGGAGATGTCAGTGGTACTCCCCTGCTCCAGCGCTCCCAGGGCGCCGGGGAACGGGGGCGGCGGCGGCGGTGGTGGTGGTGGCGGCGGCGGCGGCGGGGGCGGCGGCGGCGGTGGTGGTGGTGGCGGCGGCGGCGGCGGGGGCGGCGGCGGCGGTGGCGGCGGCTGGCGGCCCATATACAAACACGCAGGGGGGCTGGCACTGAACTCTGGCACCGGGCCCCTCTGGAACGCACACGGGTCCCTGTAAAGCTGCGTGGCTGCGTAGTACTGCTCCTCGCCGTTCATGGTCGCAGCCCGGGGTTGGGGGCCAGGAGCCAGGAGCCAGGAGCAGGGAGCTGCAGTCAGGGACTTGGTGCCGTGCTGCGCTCCCACTCCCCTGGCCGCCCCTGCTCGCTTTGACAGCTTCCCACTGTTCTCAAGGGAACCTGTGGCCGGCAGGGACAGGCCAGCCGGCGGCCAAGCCATAGGCTCCGGCTCGCCCCACGTGGCTCAGCCTAGGGACATTATTGGCCTGGCCGACTGCTTAAGACTGGGACGCAGGCACCCACGAGCACCTGCGTTTGTTTCAATTTTCTCTCTCAGCTGCACACACCTGTATAAGCAGCTGGCGGTGCTCTCCGGGAGGGGACCGGGCGGGGGGTGGGGTGAGAGAATATATGAGAACTTCATTTACAGAGCCATTTTCATCGTGGTTTAAATATTTCAATTTCCTTGCATCTTCTATAATGTGCGTATTATAATTTCATTGATATCATGTATCAATAGACATATACTGAGGTTGCATGGTTTTTAACTGCTGGCAAATACAGTCAGAGAGGTGTGCAGACCCCAGTTCTGCAGATCAGAAGCAGTCGTTTCTCTCACTTATGAAGCTGGTTGGCAAATACCAGCCATGTCAGAAAAGGAACAAGAACAGCGCCGGCTCTGGTTGTGTTGTTATGCGCGCCTGTGCTCCTGGTATTGTGGAGTGTGAATGCTAGCTTCACAGAAGCAATCGCAGTGGGTTTTTGTTTTTTAATTGAAGGGCCTATTACTTTTGGTTTTAGGTGTTGGGGCTCATCTGACCAACTCAGAGTGCACTTTGCCAGTCGTAGGGAGGGGAAGGATGCAGACCGTTCCTGTGGTTGAGAGGCAGGGCGGAGGTTGGCATCAGGTTTCCAGATGCTTGGCGATTCTCTCGGGTCTGGATCCTGGCTGGAGTCTGCTGTTGGAGAACTTTTTCTCACTTCCACTCCATTGAAAGAAGAGACAGGTGGGGCTAGGGAGGAGATGCGTTTAGAGAACGAAATAAAAACGCTGCCTTTGCACTCTAACTTCCCTGCTTGGCTTCAATCCATCAGTAACTGGCTGCTCTGGGAGCCTGATTTAAACAGGGTCAGCTTTTCCGCACTCACTGGTGAGGCCGGACTACTTCCTGCAGCCCCACCATGGCCGCCGGGTCCTCCCGAAATGACCACACTCCTCCAACCACGAGGATTTTGGAAAAACCGGACAGCTCTGCAGCAAAACCTCTGCAAAAAAAAGCAAGCCACAGCCAAGCAAGAGGGAAATCGCGGCAACCTGCCTCTCCGGAGACACGCACTCGACATCTAGACTTTTGCGAGATTTTAATGTCTTTTTTTCCTACTGGAAATATTTGTTTGTACGTATATGTATGTATTTTGGTACCGGGAATCGAACTGAGGACCTTGTGCTTGCCTGGCAGAAGCTGTGCCTCTGAGCTAGATCCCCAGCCCAATATTTGTGTTTTGAGTGCAGAATAGATTGCGCTATTCTGCTACTCAATTTAATTTGCATTGAAAGATAGCTCTTGGCTGGCTTGCGAGTGTGATATCAGCGTTTGTGTCAAGCTGGGGAGAGGTGCGCGGGGGCCTGGCGCTGCTGACGACCGGGCCTTCACCCGAGGGCAGGCTGACGGAAGGGGGGATTCTTAAGGGAAAAGGGCCACCTGTGGTCGTGAAAGGCCCTGGGACCCGCACACCTAATCTCTACCCGCCTCGTCAAAGAGCCCATTGTTCGAGGTGGCCGCGGAGGAGCCGACGCTATCGCCCCGGCCGCGAGGGACCACATCGATCAGGACAGGGCCGGCGGGGTTGCGCAGCCTAAGCGTGTTGACCCTCGGAGATAATCTGCCCGGTCGCCAAGGGTTGACTTGGCGACATGGTTATGAGCGGACCTCGAGCTGTGCTCCCGACAAAGATCGGCCACCTTCCTGCTCCTCCCGCTCGCTTTCCCGGCACTTTCCCTTCTTCCCTGGACGCCGCCGCTCCAGGACTCGCCCCACGCCTGCCCCATCCCTTCCCTGCTCCCCGCCTTGCCCGCCACCCCTAGAGTATTTACTTTGCACTTCTCCTCTAATTGCACATTTCTGTAAAGTGGTCTCTATTCGATGCTTCATTTGCTCCCATTTAATATTTTTGCTTGGCCCTGCGGAAAGGAAAGAGGCTCTTAGCAGAAAAGTGAATCCGCTCATGGCGATGGCAAAAAAAAAAAAAAAAAAAAAGGACCCCTGCCCTGAGCAAAGACGTGGGAGCGGGAGGGGAAGAAGGCGGCGTGCTCTTCTCACGCTCGCGGTTTGCGACTGTGCTGTGTGTTTTCTAAAGAAAGCCGAAGCAAAGGTCAAAAGGCCCTTTATTATTGTTATTTATTATTCTTCTTCTTGGGTAGAACAAAGCTATCAGGATTTCTTGATTGGCGAATTATCACGCTCAGGCACAGGAAACGCACATCCCGAAGAACCCTGGCTGAGGAGCTCGCGCCTTGCGTCTGCTCTCATAAAGTCCCAAACCCATTACGGTGAAAGCGTTTCCGCCCCGCTCCCCGCGGCCGCCCAGGCCGAGCCATTAGGCCAGCGCCTGCCCGAGCCATTTAACAGCGCTCTTATGGATAAATAAACAGAAAAGGCTGTAAACCAATTATAGTGTGGACAGTGAAAAACTCGTTTATTAGCAGGACGTCCTGATAGTCCTCGCTGATATCGAAGGTCCTCGCCTGCCCCCTTCCCCATTTGCCCCTGCGGAGCCGCGGTTTGCTTCCCTGAACGCGGGTCACCCCGTCTGGGAAGTGGGGCCGCTTCCTGGGTCTCACAGGCGTGCCAAGGCCCGAACTCGGCGTGATGACAAGAACTTATAAGCTACCTCGTCCCTTGTGAAGGGGGTTAAAAAAATGAACCTCGCTTAATTTAAGAATACCTTCATGTGAACTCTAGTTTACTAGAGCATGTTCATTTAAACAGTAAGTTCGCTGTTAAAAAAATAAAAATAAAATACATCCTGAGTTGGAAAGCTCTGTAAAGCCAACAGCGTGATGCACTTAATGAGAATCCGCCTTTTATAACTGGCTTTTGTTTTGCCTTGAGACAGGGTCTCACTGCGCAGTCCCAGGCTGGACTTGAAATCATTAGCTAGGCCAGACAGTCCTGCAGCCCATGAGCCTCGCCTCAGCCTCCAGAGTGTGGGGATTACAGGTGTTTACCACCAGGCCAGGCTTCATGACTGACTTTTAAATTTGGTTTCATTGTTTCCATACTGGAGATTCCTAGGGATTGAACCTAGAACTTCTTGTATGCTAAGGCAAGGGCTCTGCTACTGGGCTCCATCTTGAGCTTTTTAAACATTTTATTTTGAGTCACCCACTAGCTAAGTTGCCCAGGCTGGTCTTCTAACTTGTGATCCTCCTGCCTCAGCCTGCTGTACCACCACACCAAACATAATTGACTTTTAAATTGTGTGCATTCAGCGGGCACTGTTTTTTTTTTTTTAATCAGGATAAATCATTCCTTTTCTTCTGCTACTTTTTGTAAATCCAGAGTCTGGTGTCCAGGCCTGAGAAGAGCCACGGAAAAGACCTCTTCCTTTGAATTAATGGTTTTTCATCAATTTTTAATGCAAAACAGTCCAGTGGAGAGTTGAAATCATTTTCCACATAATTTATACTGTAATTTTTATTTATTTATTTTTTTGAGACAGAGTCTCGCTATGTAGTTCCGGCTGGCCTGGAACTCACCAGGACCCTCCTGCCTCAGCCTCCTGAGTGCTGGGATTACAGATGTGTGCCACCAAGCCTGGTCATTTTCTACATAGTTTAGCATCCACCTTTGTACAGATAACTGAGACTAGAATCACATTTAGTTAGACAGTTGCCTTATTCTCTATCTCACTGTGCTCTGAGAGTGGAAGGCTCTGCACACCCCACACTACACTGTTCAGCTTGCTCCCCACAAGTGGGGCCCTCAGACATCAGCCCCTTCCTCTTTGGGTTAATCCTTCCATCATTTCAATTCACCCTGCAGTGAAAAGGAGAAGAACCAAATAAAAGGTGAGACCCAAAGATCCCAGGTCCCTGCTGGGGCTCCCAGGTCCTTTGGACCCCACCCCTCTGGCTCCCAGCTCTGCCTCTTTCACCCAGATTGAAAGTGGCCAGAAACCCCAGCCCTTGCTCCTTCAGACTGAAGCCCTCCACAGCCAGCTTTTTATTTTTATGACCAGCTTTTTATGTTCATCGAAATTTCCTTTTTTGCCTTCCAATCTCCCATCCCACTGTTTCCTGTGATTAATTCTTTCGTCTCCTGGGAATCTCTGCATAACTCCAGGTTCCTGGTACAGCTCAAGGAAGCTTTAACCCACGCTGCTTGCTCTCTCAGCTTTCTTCAACCTTCCTATATTTCACACAATTTATTGGTTTGAAGGACTAATAATTTCATTAGTATTTATGGATCAAACAGAGCTCTTACTATGTGCCTGGTTGCAGTCTCTTCGTGTGAGGACTTGGGTGTAGAAATACGTTCTGGCTTTGCTATGGGATGGAAAGCCCTTAGGAGCTGCATACGCCTGTCTTCCAAATGTAGTTTTGCCACGTATAAGCTCCATGTCCCTTGGCAAGTTATAAAATGTCACTAGGCTCCCCTGTGTTTACTTGTAAGACTGAAGTAACATCATTGTCCCAGAAAGTGCATCTACTGTTTAACAATAACAGCAAACATGCAGCCAGGCACTGTGTCAAATATTTGACATATATCAGTCCTCAAAAACACTCCTTAAGCTACATACTCTTGCCCCTATTTTGCAGCGGAGGAAACTGAGGCACAGCAATGTCAAGGTACTTGCTGAAAATCACACAGCTAGTAAGCAGCAGAGTCTACATCCAAGCTGAGGTAGCTTTACTTTTAGAATACATTCTGATGGTCATTATCTTGCTTTAGAGCTGGTGCTCAAGTCAAGAAATAGCTTTACTTTTTTAGGAGAGTTAGATGAGCCTGAATGTCTAGTGATCTTGGCACTCTGTTT